CCCTGGGAAATTGAGAGAGAGAAGCTGGGAAGTTGATAAAGTCATTCCAAGGAATTTCCAGCCTGCTCCATCCGGAAGTTGGGCACATTCCTATTACTAGAGAATTCACAAAGTCAAGAGAATGTATGAGGGAGGAAGCCTTGGCAGTGTCTGAGGACAGCCCCCCAAAGGTGACTTCTAGGATACTTCAAGGGAATTTGGTCAGTGCACAAGCGGTTGCCTTTTCTACATTAACTACCTAGATAGGTGAGTCGGTGAGTAAGTGAATGAGCTCAAGAATGAATCATTGGACCTGAGGGAAGAGGAGTGAACCAGCACAATTTCAAAGTGAGGGCAGGTTCTTGGTGGCAGTGGTATGCTGAGTCCAGCTCACTGTGTACATCTCTTCCCAATCCAAGTTCAAGGATATTATGATGTACCATGATAGTAATCTTTACACCATGGGAAATGGCATATTCTGAAAATCAGCGCTTTTCCCCCCCCGGAGATATGTTTGTTAGCACCCAAAGTTTGGTGGAGATGTAAATACTAAAACTTGGTCTTGATCCCTTTCTACCAGTTCTCCTTGTTCTCGCTTGTTCCTTCCAAAGCATCCTTCATGCTCAGGTTGGTGTCCAGGTCTTGAGAGATGCGCCCACACTGACTTCAATGTGGACCGCAGACACTAGGAATGCCAATATCATCAGCTCGATTTCTTGCCTTAGTCCAACCTACTGCTTTCAACTATGTCTAGCAAATGAACCAGAAGGATTAATAGCAGCTTTCAGTGATATTACTTGTGTGGCTCAATTAGTTCCAAGATGGAAATTACTTGCCCATTTCCAAGGGAAAACCTTTAGGGTCATTACTTGTGCAAGTACATCAATTCCTGCCATGAGTGATTTGGGTTTATTTTTGCTTATTAACCCAGTAAATGTATGCCAATTCTTCTGTTCTCGTTCACCTGAATGTGTTTCTAATTAGGTTGTATACAAGGGAAATCTCTGCAGGCTAATCTTGTCCATTTAGAGAGTAATTTGGTTGTTGTTGGGAACAGAGCTGTAGCTCAACCAAGACAGACGTGAAATAAGAATTTATTGCAGAAGATTTATTTTGGTCTCCTGAACTCAGGGCCCATAACTGATTGGATGAGTGGTAATAATATTGATTATCTTAGAATTTGTAGGAGAATGCATGTCTCTTGTTGGCGGGATCTTGAGGGAAACAGAGGGGTATTAAAATGCATTGGATTAAGTAAATAGACTTTTGTTCTGTTAGGTTCTTAGCTCAAGAAAGGTGAGCTGGGATATTTCATTCGCATCCAGAAAGACAGACATTCTGGATTGTCTGAGGATAGGCACAAAGAACCCACAGTGTGAAGAAAATGACAGCAATGTGGGTCCACACATGTGCGCGCGCACACACACACACAAACACGCACACACACACTCTTTACATCTCTCACCTAGTTTCTGGAAGTCATTCTAGTGTCTGCCTCAGATGGAGCTCCTTGCTCTCACTTCTCTGCATGCACCCCAGACACTGGTTCCTTAAGCTCCCCCCCTGAACCCCACACCACCCTTATAGCTTTCCTAGATCCACACCCCACTCCCCCTCCATCTTGGCTGCACACTGCAGTTATCCCATCTTTCCATCTTTCTTAAGGGAGTGATGTCTATGTCTAAGAGATATCATAGATGCATAATCCACCACCTGCTCTATGAACCAACGGATGATTCCTGATTGAGCAGATGCAGAAACTTAGGTTTGGAGAAGTCCATTTGCTCATCTAAAATGTCAAATAATGAAAATAAAGAGCAGGGCTCAAACTCCGGTCTACCTGACTCCAGACTGCTCCATTCTGCACTAGCAATTAGGGTGGAGCAGTTGGGGCTGGGCAGATGTCTTGGGAGGGGATGAGTGAAAGAATTTCCAACGTTTCATCCCACTCCACATTTCTCTTCTGCACAAAACGACTCTTACCCCCACCCCAAGAGCCTCCGGTGCACTCCCTGCTGGATCTTAGAGCATTCTAATTACAGGACCAGTCCCCTGTGAGCCATTGGATTCAATCTCTCTACTCTGGACTCATCCATACCTCTGATAAGTTATTCACTCAGTAGGATCTACCTCTTTCAGTATTACATAGACTTTATCTGTTTAATCCTCAACAAACCCATGGGACTTTGTTATTGGTCACACAGTGTGATTTATCGTTAATCTGTGAAGACTGTTGGAAGGGAGAAACTTAACTTAAAAGCCTACAGAGATCAGATTTAACTCTTGTACAATGCCTTGGGTTTTCAGAACTCAAGAGAGGCAGAGGGGAAAAAAAACGAGGGGTGGTGATGGTAATGTGTTTTCAATAGTCTGATATTTTCCATGCAGCTAATATATTGAACTATTTATGCAATGACCATTTCCATCTTAATGACCATTCCATCTTAAGTTCCTTATGTGGTAGTATGCAAAACAGTTTAATATCAAGTGAAAAGCCAACAGTAATTTTTATAGCTATTAAGCATTGAAATTAACAGGATTTTTTACTCCTTTCAACTCTTACTTGGTACATTTTAAAGTCTCAAGTAATTTTTTTAAAGTCCAACTGCTTGAAGTAGCTGTTCAATGCGCCTCACTTGCAGCCATTGCCTGTCTGCCATTGGAGGCTTACGTGTGACTCTGGTATGGGATAGTTTTCAGCAAACCCTTCATACTTTGGTGGTTTAGGAAGAAAGACCTGGCAATCTACCCCCACCCCACCCCCAAAAATTATCCAATAAAACCCCTATGTATGGATTCCATGGTCTGATCCAAAACTAATCATGGGAATTGTGTAGTATTGGGCGTCATGAGGTCACCATGAGTCAGGGGTTGGGGGGCATAGTGACAATTAATAACAGCAACAATGCAATTCTACAGTATATTTAATACAGACATATTACACTTCATAAAAATACATATACCTCACACCATTGTTGCCGAGAGAATATAAGATCACAGATGTTTGGTTATGCTCACAGTACCTGGCTCATAAAACATTTTAAGAACTCACTGCCATCAAGTTGATTCTGACTCCTAGCGAACCGATAGGACAGGGCAGAACTGCCCCCGTGGGTTTCTAAGGCTGTCAGTGTTTAAGGGATTAGAAAGCCGTGCCTTCTCCCAAGGAGCGGGGAAGGAACATCTCCACCGCCATAGGCAGGCTGTTGGACTCCCCGCCTCCACTCTTTATTCTGGAAGAAGTCTTACTCATAAAGATAGTTCAATTTGGCACAAGGGGCGGAAACATTCAGTCTCATGTCATGAAACCTAAATGTAAGCATTGAACATCTAAAATCTCCCCTTCCCTATGCCTACCAATAGTTCAACAGGTAGAGAGCATCGGTTCTGAGAAAAGCAATATCTCTACCACAGGGATGATAAAGATTAGCTTCCCTTCCCGAGTCAATTTGCTAAACATCACTGTCTTTGTTTTGTTGAGTGGTTTGGCGAGTCCCTGGATCGTGCGCATGATTAGTATGCAAGCAGCTGCTAACCTGAAAGGTTGGCAGTTCAAATCCATCTAGAAACATCTCAGAAAAAACGGGCTGGTGATCTACTTCTGAAAAAAATCAGTCTACAAATCTGAAGGACGGAGTAGTATTGTAGCCTAAATTATGAACACTGGTGTTACAGAAGGCTAGTAGATGACAGTGGAAGCCCAAAATCCATTTGCAGGTTCTCAGGTGGAGTAAGTCTCCACGAGCCCCTAAGCCCTACAGCCATACTGAAGGGATGTGACTAGCCATACTATGAGAGAGCGAGCATTGTAAAGTTGATTTTGGCAGATGCAGTTAGGTTCAAATGTAATACCCTACCATTGGATCTCCCTTTTGACCCATTGTAGAGCAGTTTCCCTTTTTTAAGATTTTCTGCTTTCTCCTCATTTGAGGTTTTTCAGCTTTGCCTAGTCATTGTTGTTGGGTTCTTTGTTTTTATTTGTTTGCTTTGTATGATTTTGTTCTGTTTTGTATGATTTTCAGTAGAATCTGTGATTTTCTGTGAATTCTAGGCTAGGTAGATCTATAGAGAGTAACTAGGTAGGGGCATGGCTGGGGAGGATGAAGGGAAATGGGGAACGAACAATAATAAGGGTGCGAAGAAATTGATTGTGGTGATGATTGTACAAATCTTCTTAATATGATTGAATGATTGAATTGTATATGTGGGGGAAAGTGTTAAAGAAGAGGAAGAACAACAACAAAATACCTAGGGAGTTGCAAATATCCGCCTCCACGTCCCTGTTACCTGAAGAACTAGAATCTTCTGGCTACTACAAACTTTTATGGAAAATACCATAATAGAAGGTCTTAGCTAGTGTGGAGTGAAATGGTAGAACCAAACTCAAAATCATAAAAGAGATCAGGCTTCGTGGTCAGCCAGAGACTGGTAGGAATTCCTAAGACCAATGCCTTAGTCAACCTTCAGGTCTGGAACTGAAGTCACCCCTGTCTTAGCATAATCAATCATTTAAGATCCAAATGTCAGCACTTAGACAAAAACACAGTACAGGGAGTAAGGGAAAAGGAAGACTAGAACCAGGAAGAAGGGAAAATGAGGGGAATGACGGTACATGAGGGAACTGCAATGGATGAGTTGAAACAAAAGCTGTATAAACTATTGAACGTAAAACGGATGGTCTGCTCCGTAGACCGACTTCACAATGAAAAGTCCTAAAAGAGAAACACCTTGCAGATACTCACTGTTCAGTCCTTCATTCGTAGCCTTCCAGCGCCTTTTTCAGACATCTGCACACAGTTATTTCGCTGGTGTCCTTAATTTTCTCCCAGAGGACTTACTCTAGCGTGTCCAGCTCTTCTTTCAGACCAGCGCCCTACCTCTTCATGATGCTGGCTTTCCTCCTGTCCCCCTGGGCAAGCATGGTGTTGCCTTGGTCTACACACTAAACTCCTATTGATATATCAGACTAGGTCACAGCATCAATCTAATCGCTGCCTTTTCTTTTGTTTTTTCCCCCACAGCTTTTTGCCATCTTTGCATTTGCAACATGCGGTGGCTATTCAGGAGGCCTGAGGCTGAGTGTGGACTGCGTCAACAAGACAGAAAGTAACCTCAGCATTGACATAGCGTTTGCCTACCCATTCAGGTAGGGAATGGTGCTGCCCTCTCATCTACCCCACAGAGTGGACTGTCTTCCTTCTATGAATTCTCTAAAATATATATAATATCACAGGATCTACTTGGGAAACAGAAAGGATTCTGCCTAACCTCTCTCAAATATCCAAATGTGCAGACTGCCCATCTACCACCTCAAACCAGGAGGATGTAAGAGCTGTACCCTCAAACGACCATAGACTCATCTTCCAAGAATTAATGCAACAAATGGCTCAGTATTTTGGGTTGTCAATATGGAGACCTCAATCGCATAATTCATTGATCTCCATCTACATTCTAACCCCAGTCTCCCACGTTCCTAAATTATATCATCTCTGTTTTCATATTGACTGTACAATCCTGGCTGATGCATTTATTAATACCAATATATAAGATTCTTCCCATGTGCCAGACACTGGGCTTAGGACCATAATTATTTGAAAAATGAAGAAATAGAGGCAGAGAGACATTGCCTACCTTTCTTTAGCCATCAAGTAGCAAAGTCAAGTTTTAAGCCTACCTGACTTGAACCCAGACCTCGCAATCTCTATTTCTATACCTACATTGCTTGAGAATAACATTTTCAGCCTTTTTACAAATTTAGTATGAAAGATAATGCCTGATCTGTGTCTTTGCCTTTTCTTAATATGCAGATGAGATGCCTACAAGGTCTTGTCCCAAATCTGCCATCATGTGATTTTTTTCCATTAACACAAAATGGATTCATTGAATTCAATTTTTAAGTAGTTTATTTATGTAAAACTTCCAGATACTTAGCACCAAATGAGTGGTGTGATTTTAAAAAATAACAGTGTATTTTTTTCAAGACACTGTTCTGGCATATTACTAATATAGTCTCATTGTTCCTCTGAATTTAGCAAACATTTGAGTGTTCTTCTCATGCCTGACACTGTACTAGAACTGTAATTATAGAGAAAAGTTCAAATTACCCACTAACTATTTAAAATATCAAACAGGTACATACAGTTTTTTTACCAAATATATTTCTCATAGACTCTTATATCATCGATGTTACTATGAGGGAAGGATGGGAGGGAGAGATGTGAGGGAGTAAGTGTCACATGATCGCACAAATTCAGGAGACATTTCTTAGCACTGTTGTACCTCTAATGCACATTTTTTAAATTAATTGGGATTAGTACATACCTCAAACCATTCCCTAGTTCAATCATATCCAGCAGAGTTGTACATTTGCTACCACAATCCATTTCCAAACATTCTTTTTCTATATGGACCCTTGACATCATCACCCCTTTGCCCATCTCTAAAAGAAGCACATTTTCCCCATGTGTTTAATCATATAAACCTTTTTCTCCCCACTGAGCATCTTTCACCTAGTGGGCTTTCTTTGTTTCAATGCCCAGGTTGTAGTCAGTGAATCACGAGGAAGTGGAATTTATACAAAAATTCATACTGGTCAGCATGCTGAAAGACTTTAGGAGTAGAACTGACAAATGTTAAAAATGGCCCCTGTTTAAGTCTATATTCTTATAACTAATAAGAAAGCCCAAATTTAAAAAAATTAAGCACATCATTTCTATTAATCTGATAGTAAGTATTGTCTGTGATGGTGGAAATATGAATGATGAGTCCTTGAAACTACAGAAATTTCTGGATGAACTCTTTGGCTTCTAAGGAGCACAGCTATGCCAATGTGGGCTCCCTCGTCAACACGAAGAATCTAGGACAGGACATAAAAACTCTCACCAGCTGGGAAACAGGGTAAGATGCTGAGTAAGCTTATTTCTGAAGCTTTTAGGGTCTACTTTGCCTTCATGTTATCTGGTAGGAGTAATAACTCAGGCCATTCCTTCAAGATCATAGGCATCCTAGATTTGATTTGAAAACTACTCTTCTGAAAAAATGCAAAAACGTGTTTTCCATTCTGCTTCCCATTGCCTGTATACCTTATATTATTGAGAAATCCGAATTAGTTTGAAACCTGAATTACCTCCTCTTAAACATAACGTCTTGCATCTGTGTTCCATTAATGCCCAATATAGGAGATAAACATATGCCATTCCAAAGAGCCTCAGTTTTACTAGAGATACCATTTTAATTTTACATTTGGATACTTTAAAATGCTGTACCATTACCCTCATAAAGGTAAGAATCTGAATAATAAGCTGCTAGCCTACAATTTATACAGGTTATTTTGAAGTCATTTGTGCCAAAAGAGTCTGAGTTATAAGGGTGCTAATAATGTAAATCATTAAAAAATCATTTTCTCCTAAAAATCATAAACCAATGCCAATGATTTCATCATAACCTTTAAAATAAAATGAGTGTTCAGCAGCTTTTAACAATTCAGTTTATTGCAAACACAAGGAAGACAATAAACTCTACTGCCAAGTCATTTGAACAGAACAATTAGTTTCTGAATGATAAATCGAAGGAAGCTATTTAACTCATTATTGGACAAGTATTTTACAATGTGAAATTGTGTCAATTTACAAAGCATAGATAATTTATGAACTACTTACATTGCTGTTTCTAATGAGTATGCCAAATATGTGAGTGCCTTAGGCTGGGCTGGGTTCTCTAGAGAAGCAAAATCAGTAGAGCGTATATATGCATATTACAGGGAGGAAATGCTCACACAGTTGTTGAGGCAGGAAAGTTACAAATCTGTGGTTCAGATGTTAGGCTGGAGGCTTCTCCTGACTCATGCAGCTACAGGTGCTGATGAGCCCAAGTCAGCAAATCAAGATGGTAAGTTGCTAATGACTCCCAAGATCATCAGGTCAGACAGTAGGCTTCTGGCTGTAGAGGCAAATGTTGAACAGATATATGAAAGGCTGCTAACTCCTAATAGTATTAAGGAATACAGAACACCACTAACTCAAGTCTACATAACCAGGAGCCAGATGTATAATCCAGAGACAGCAAAAAAATCAAGCAAGTTTTCCCTCAGCCTCCACTTAGATTGGAAGCAGTTCATACCCCTGAGAAAAATCTCATCATGGGGGAATAACAGCATCTTAACTGACAAACCACTGAGAGTCTTAAACCCAGCCAAGCTGACACAAAATCTGAACCATTACATTCTTTGACAACACACACACACGTATGCACACGTATGCACACATGCACATATATATTAACTCACTCTGGGATGCTAATTAAAGTCAGCAGTTTGAAGCCAACAGCCACTCCAGGGAGGAATGAGGCTTTCTACTCCCATAAAGAGTTACAGTAGTTTCGGAAACCCACAGGGGCAGTACTACCCCCTATTCTAGGGTCACCATGAGTCGTAATTGACTCGATGACAGTGAGTTTGTTTTATTGGAGTTTTAATAATGTGAAGGATAGTCAAAAAGCATTGCTACTGGGTGGAGTGGAGAACCAAAGCCCATCTACAGACAATTGGACATCTCCTTACAGAAGGGTTACAAGGAAGAGACGAGCCATCCAGGGTGCAGTATAGCACTGACAAAACATACAATTTTCCTCTAGTTCTTTAATGCACCCATCCCCAATCCTACCTTACAAAACCATCTAGACCAGAGCATGTACACTGGTACAGATAAGAGCTCACAACACAGGGAATCCAGACAGATAAACCCCTCAGGACCAATAATGAGAGTAACAAAACCAGGAGGGTAAAGGGAAGGTGGGGGGAGAAATGGGGAACCAATCACAATGATCTGAATATAACCTCCTCCCTGGGAGATGGACAACAGAAAAGTGGGTTAAGGGAACCAACAGTTGGTGTTAGACATGAAAAAAAATTATAAATTATCAAAGGTTCATGAGGGAGGGAGGGTGGGGATGGTAGTAAAAAAAATGAAGAACTGATACCAAGGGCTCAAGTAAAAAGAAAATGTTTTGAAAATGATGATGGAAACATATGTACAGTGATGCTTGACACCGTGGATGTATGTATGGATTGTGATACGAGCTGTAAGAGCCCCCGAGAAAATTATTTTTAAAAAAGCATTGCTACTGGGATTCCAGTTTAGAAATGCATGAAATTATTCCTAGCAAAAACATGTTCAAGTACACCAGTAGATGCCTATTACATCCTCAGTAATGCCCTTGTTTTAACTTTCTTAGGGTGCATTCAAAAAACATCCAATCCAAACACTGACTTCCCGGGGGATCAGCAAGGGCTGGGTCAATTCAAGGTGGAGAGGTCACCTCAGAAGGTTATGATAACTATTTGAAGGGGAATTCTAAAGTGGTAAGCTAGAGAGATATTCTCAAATGACACAGGATGAGTACAGGGGCTCATTATAAAGATGCTTGGAGAAAATTGAACATTACATTGGTAAGGAGAAGTTTCAGGAGAATTTACTTGCTCCTATCCACCCTACAGCCTTGCTCTTACTGCTACAGACTTCTTTTTGTTCCCCAAATTCAAGGAATATTACAAACAATCAAGATTTGAGTCCCTCCAGAATGCCAACACTGCCATTTTGACATGGTGTAACTCAGAGAACACAGAATTCTTTGAGGGAAGGGTAACACCGCCTTCAGGAATGTATAGCCCTAGATGGAAGATATGGCAAGAAATAATAGCTTCACATTGTGGTTTTTTTGTTTATTAAAGATTTCTATGATTTTGTAGGAATATATTTTGACTCACTGGTGTATATTATTTTACTATGGGAAAAAATATTTATCACCTGACCTTCCTTTAGATTTCTGATGAAAACATATGAATAGTATATGTTTGTGATTGAAATAGACAATCGATATGTGTCCCATGCCAAGATGGTATAGAACTTATTCAATAAGTAAGATTCTGGATTCATTATTTTTAGTACTCCCTTTACGCATAGAAGTGTGAAATAGAGTTTCTCACTATAAGGAACTTCATATATTTGGAGAAAGAAACCTAATGTTAGGAATGTGAATTAACACTTTGCAACTGCACATGACACATGTTGAATAAGAGACTGGAGAGATGAGAATAGAGGATTTAGGGACGATAGGGACAAGACAAGTCATCACGACGCAGGTTAGTTT